ATCTACTTTAGGAGAGCTGGCAGCATAGCTTGTACAAAAATCATTTCATGAGCAGAATAGTATTCATCCTAACCTTGAATTTAAAATAAGTTAAGAAAATCTTGAACTTACACATAGTATTTGATGGTTTATGCACGATTAAGTGTATTCTTTTAACAACAGCTAAAATTATGAAAATAAGTAAATTGGTAATAGCATCATCTATTTTTGACAGTGTGGTTTTCTAGATTTCAATCTCTGGCAACCCATTATTTTATATTTCTATTTTAAACTTAGATTTGTCTCCATCAATCATCTTTCATTCCTTTCTCAATTTGTTTCCAAATTCTTTACATATCTTTAGCTAAGTTAACGCATAACAACACAGTGGTGCACCTAACTGAAATTCAGTATGTACTAGCCAGATTAGCTTCAAAACAGAATAATAACTTATTAAAGGTGTATTTTTATAGCAGCAAGCTTGAGGAACCAAAACTAGCGAGTACTAAAAGCAACTGATTAATTTTGTTGTATTCAGTATTTCTTCGTCTTTTACCTCACTGTTAAAATTGTAAAAGGCTTTTTAGATTGGAATAATGAAAAATAAATACACCTACACAGTTGGCTTAATTGATACTCAGTCCATATCTCCCATATAACAAACTTGCATTTGAAGAGAGTCACTCATATCTTGTATCTAACTTAACTAAGGGTAGTTATGATGATTAAAAAGTCAAGTTCTACGCTAGAAAGATTATCATTTAACTGCTAATTGATACTTTCCCTTGCCATGAAGCCTTTTTACAGTATCCTAAGAGAGCTACAGCTAAAAAAACCCAAACCTTGCATTTTTCATATTAAAAGTAGGTTCCACCGGCTCACATAATAATATCACATCTAAAATGTTCTCGCACTCCACCAGACCGTTTCTAGAAATTTAGCCTATTGGGTGTCCACTAAACACCAACAGAAAAAACTTCTCCTATAGTGCTGTAACATTACCACCAATGGGTAACATCTTTTGGAGCTGCTGCTTCAGGCCTGATCACACAGACATCACCATGGGACAAGTTTTTTTCTTTATATAAAAATGAAAGAAGCATCACTATACACAGCTTCACTTTTCAGGCACACTGGAAATGACTCCATGCAAGTATTTTAAGCAAGAAATCATGGAAGTTAATTCACTAACATATTCTTACAAGGAATAAACGTTTTTGTAATACAAAGGGAATGTAGATGAAAAACTTACTGTAAATCGGTGCATACTACATAAAATTATGGGTAAAATACAGTTAAGCACTGGAAAGAGTGGATTCCAATCTCATTTGGTATTCATCCAACTAACTCATCACATTTTACCAGCTGTCCTTCATAAGGTATCACTAATGCTCGAGTGGGCCTCAGAGACTCGGATTGCATGGAAAATTATACAACTGTCATCACAGCTCTGCCCAATGGGGGATTCAGTGTTGTTTTGCAAAATGACAGCAAGCTAGATCCTGCTTATTTTCGTATTACTAGAATAATGAAAGTGAAACTAATCTGAATAAAAATATTTTTAAAGAAAATTCAAGGAGACACTTATTTGTATTTTTTCATATAAAGTATTTCCATAGATTTTGGGGAGATTCTTTTTATGAATGCTTAAATGGTAGCTTTTCGTTATAATATAATCACTTTCATGCAGGAAATCCCTTAGGCATAACTGAGAGCTGGGATCCACACTGCATCTATAGCTAGAAAAGCAATCAAAGAAAATTTAAAGAAGAGACTGAAGCCTTGTAAACCATAATAATATCATGAATTCATTCAGCATGCAAATAGTATTCTACTCAACATTCAGCAGACTTTTAAAGCTCCACACTGAATTAATACATGAGTTCAGAAAGCACTAGTAAGTGTATCTTCACAACAGCATAAATAACATTTGAGTTATGCATGAAGCATCTTACCTTGAGAATTTCAAGGCCTTTAAAACAGAGCTTCAAAAAGGCACTTTTAGTGTAAGTGATTGATTCTACCAGTCCATAGGTGGTACATCAAATATTAACATGGGAAATGAATTGCTGAGTAAACTCTAAGATAACTGCTACTTCTAATTTTCTAAATACTGAGGAAGTAAATTCAGGTTACACCACATTTTACCAAATTATGAAGTGCCTGCTTCCGGGATACATTTTTTACCTCTGTTCCAATAACTACTTAAGCCATACCCCACAAAATGAGAGACTTTCTGAAAACAAGTTCTGAAAGAGCTACAAGCCTAGGAAGAACCAAATTCTACAGTCAAGTCCTTTTTGCTGTTTCATTCATATTCACCCAGGACTCTTGCTCAGCAAGAGTTTATTTGGTTTATTGAAAGATGTAGTGCCCTGCAGTAACGCTTATTCTGTTATTCCTCATAAAATGGTGTAAAATGTGCAGCACTCCAAACTACAAAAAATAGTGGGAGTTCAGTTAACTGTGCTTCACCAAAAAAGATGCTGGTTGGAAAAGTGCTTTTCAGGCATGGTGGCAAATTATGGGATTTCATAAAGATATTTCACGGGGAATCCACTGTTTGCTGCAAATACCAAAAGATAAAACTCTTTGGGAGCCTCCACTATGTATGTCAATAATTTATTCGTAAATCTTGTCTACTTGATGTTAAAATTCCATTTCCATATAAGAAACTATGATGTTTCATTCCTCTAAGAATAGTCATATCTTCAAGAATATCCTCTTCACTGTATTTAAGTTTCTTCTCTGCGCTTGGATACAAGAAAAGTAATGGCTAGGGACTTGTATCTAAACATATGCTTATATCTGAGATATGCCTTTAAAGTTTTTCTATTGAATTCTTATGGATACTTTCTCTCAAATGAAAATTTCTGAGTTTGACATGACATATTTCAGAGAGATTCCATCCTAAAAGGGGTTTTCCAAGTAAAACAATTAAGATGAAAACTTAGTGTGACTGGGAATACCTATTATGTGATCTAATTTAAAATTAAAACCCAGCAGAGTCTTCATGATTCCAAGGCTATGCTGATTGCCATTTGAAGCTGGAAATGTTTTTCCCTAATGCACAAGTGATGAAGTGCACGTAAGGCTTAGAGGAAAGTTACCTTATCTGAAGTATCAGATATAGATTACTGCTGGAGTCAGCATGCCACACTAGTTGGATCCATACACTCTGTTCCGATATGAGGAATTAAGTTTCCCTGATGTCACAAATTGAACAGATAATGCAATTAACATTTCCTTTGAAGTTCACATTGACCATAGAATGAGTTGGCAAAACTTTACTGAATCAGTCACTGAAGTGATCTTGGCTCACACAGACTGAGACTTCAGCTTTGACAGTCTATAAACCGCTGAATCCCTAGTGGGATATTTATAATCAGTGTTTATTCTGTCATGTAAATATAAAGATCCTGCACTTCTGTCTGGAATTCCCCAGATGTGTCAGGGATCTGTCAGAATCGCTGCATATTCTCTGCAGAGTTGCTTCTCTCATGTGCACCAGCTATTAGGCCACTCTCTGAAAGACTGACGGACGTCTGGAAACCCCACACGAGTGGCAGGGTCTCATTTTCCTACCTCAGCGCTCCTACTGGGAGCAATCTCCAGGTAGGAAAAGAGGTCCTGTCTGAAGGATCAGATCTTTGGGCAAGACTAGAAAATAGGACAGATCTGTTATAAAATGTTCCATTTGCCACTAGTTACTCTAGAATACAAGAGTACACATGAATGCTGAAGCACTATCGGAGTTGACTGCTCATTTTAATACAGAATTAGCTTAATAATCCTTTGCTGAAAAGGTACCATTCACAGTTCTATAGTTTCTAATGCTTAAACAATACTAAGACTGTATATGATCAAGTGTAGAACCATGAAGAATTTACTTGAAGACTAGGCATTGATAGCTGCTCCTTTGGGACTCTTCAACTAGCGTAATTTATAATGTCACACTATCTGATGCTACAATTGACACGTTTATGATTACACCAATAATTCAAGACTTTCAAGCATTTAAACAGAGGAGGTAACTAAATGATTAATTTAAAAAAGGAGAGGATGGAATAAAGCCAAGACTTCTATCTTCTTGAAAAAGAAAATAACTTAAAATGAACATCTTGGCTGCTTTACAAGACAAGATAAAAACTATAGACTCAAAGACTTTATAATTTCCAAAAGTGTTAATATTCCTTGGAGATGAAAATACGGTGATGAAAATAGAATTCTTAGAATTAAAGAGAATTTTATTTGCGCTAAAAGAGAAAGAATTGGTGAAAAGGAAAATTACATGAGGAGAGGGAAACATCTCACTATCGTCAACATTCTGTGGGGAGATATTTGGGAAGACTGTTGAAAACCAGACTACTGTCTGATGATCAGGTAGAGAACTCCGAAAACACTTAGAAGAATAGATATTGAAAAAGTGATGATGCGTATTATTAAACATAGGAAAGTAAGGAGTTTAATTATACATACAAAAGAAATCCAACTAATAAAAACATTGATACAGTCATATATTAATTACTTAAGCAAAGCTATGTATGGTAATACAGTAAGTCAAGATTAGTAACCACAAAATATGTATGTATTACATATTGATCTACAAAGTAAAATAATGTGTATCTCATAAGGTCTTTTCATGTTCTCAAGATGTCCAAACACCTAGAAATTCTTCCGAAGTAACTAGTCTGCACCTTCTTTGCCCCAATATATACGTTAAAGCCTCTTTATAATGCCATAATACAGGTGCTGATTTTTTTGTCTGCCTTTTAAGGAAGAATTAATGCATTTAGCTGTTTGAATAAACAGCACTTCTTTTATTCTCATGCTAGCTTCAGCTATAGCTAGACTGGTTTTATCTTCTTTCTCTGAAGACTCCTCTTTTGTTTTATTATCGTTGGGAATAACGGCAGCGCCATGAGAATTGTGTTCAGGTTTGAAACAAAACCTCTTTCTTTCACTATCTGGAGAGCACTCATGCAAAGTCCCCTGGTTGAACTGAAGTGGAATATGCTTACCTTCTGTTGGTGATGTCTTCAGATGTCTGCAGAGCCCCTCTGTTTCCCCATATGTCTCTTTAATTTTTACTACTGCTTCTGTTCCTCGAAGTTCCATGAGGGAGCGCAGTTCTTGCAGTGTGCACCCAAACTCTCCTGCATGGTTGGCCTCATTTCTTTGGTTCTTGGAATAAAAATCGCTATTTGTCATGTCACCCATTGTTGCTGATTATATTGCTCCACTCGTTATAGTTGATACAATCTTAAAACTGTTTAAAAATTGCAGGAAAGGAATCTTGAATTCCAATCTAAGAAATTAAAAAGAATCCAGTGTGTGTCTGGTGAGCGATGTGGAGGATGCCTCTGGCGTGTAAGGTGTCCCTGACTGACTAGTGGTCCGCAGAACGGCTGCTTTCAAGGCTGCAGACCAGCTGTGCTCCATTCACCATTTCCCATTATGCTGCACCCAAGCTGTAGAATCTACATGGTCATTTCTTCCTCTGGACCTTTGGGAACAAACAGAAAGGACTCATTACAAGAGTGAGCAATAACGCTTTACAAAGGTGATTTCAAATTTATTCTATCATTGCAGTTTGACTTGTCATTTAAGAAAAGCTAGGCAGAAAAACTGTAGAGGTGTCCTGTAAAATGCTGCAGGTAGTCAGAGCTAGCATCGACAACAAGGATAACACTAGCTCTGCCTTAGATAAAGCTCTCTACAGCTAAACCACCAACAGCAGTGTTGCTTACTTTAATCAAGTCCCAAGAGCACCTGCTAAATGAGATGGCTCATGAATATTAATAAGTAAGCGATTAGTCCAGCATGCTAGATGCACCTCCAGTATATGCTCTGGTTCATACAGCCACATCAATCTTTCATCTGACAAGAACAAAGACTCTCTCATAAAGGCTACAAGGTAACAAAAATTAGTTAAATGCTACTAGTTTTCACAATGGGTTAAAGCAAAACTGTTTTTCAATGCAAGGACAGTAAAACTGGTGGAAAAACTAGAGCCACCATTACAAATTCAGAATACATTTAAATACACTACATCTTGCAGCCCTGCCTTCTGTGGAAGGAAGCATACCCCAGAAAAGAGAGAAAATGCTTCAGTGTCTTGGTTTGAACAGCCAGAGCTATGTCTCGTACAAGGCAGCTGTTGGGTTGCTTTCCTCCAGCGCTGCCCGTGAGCCCCCTCACCCACAGCTTCGCCTTGACAGCGACAAACGTGCGAGCACGGAGCCAACACACACAGACACGCACGAGTACAGATGCACGCAGGGTGGGGTTGGCTTTTTTCTTTTTTTCTTTTTTTTTTATCTCCCCCCCTCCATGTGCAGTGTTGAACAAGTCACATTTGGACCATCTGGGAGACAGTTGATTACTTGCTAAAACCAGCCTTTAAAACCTGTTTCCCCTTCCCATATTCTAATGAAGTTGGTTTAAATACTGCTGAAACCAGCAATTATATTTGGCACAGAGAGTTTTAACAGAGATTAAAGGTTTCCTTTTGGCCTCAAGCGGGTTAGTGTGAGCACACTGTCTAATCTATAGGTCTCAGAATAGTTTTCTCATAATAAAAAAGATCTTTAAAAGAGCACACCATCAGCGTAATGACTGACAAACCTGCCACAGTCAAAGTGCATATTCTGAACTTTCTACGTACAGTCATACACAGTGGAAATGAGTCCACACATAAAGGACTTGAAACACTTTGGGATCCTCTTTAAGTCCCAATTTTATATTTGTGCAACAATCTCCCACCCACATATAGTTGACATAATGTGTAGGCTTGGTATTTCCACTGACCTATACTGCATGGCTATTGCTCTGCATGCAGGAAAGATGAGGCGCACTGTATGCGTTCATTCCTCTGCCCACAGTGACATTACCTGCTTTGGAGCTGTCTAATATACCTTGATCAATTAGACAAACTGAACCTCTAACAGCCCTCTCATTTACAGATGAAAAAGTCAACATTCCTTCTATTTCTGTGGAGAGGAGAAAAAAAAGAAAAAAAAAGGAAGCACCAAAGTTTCACTACAATATTACAGAATGCAATTAAAATAGCAGCCAACTGCTACGTGCTTCTTCTACCCATCCTATTTATTGACATATATTCTAATGCTAAGAACTTCTGCCAACCTTGGTTTCACATATTCACATATTGCTTTTCAAGCTCATGAGAAGAGCAGAATTTCAGCACAAAAATGCTGCTTACAGTGAGCAATAAAGAGAAACTGGAAGTAGTAATGAAATAGGGCCTTTACTTGCCAAGCGATAGCCAAGGAGGAGATATTCTGCTCTGTCAACAACACTCAACTTTGCATGCTTGACAGTGTTCACAGTATCAGTTCATTTCTAGATAATTCCCTATGTATAGCATGCAGAAAAGACCTTACTCACTACTGCTTTATCTGTTTTTAAACAGGATGGATTAGTATTCTGAAGAGAAATAACATCAGCCTGTAGCATTATTTTGAAAAAATTGCAGGATAGAAATGTCACAGATGTCCAGTAAAACAGACTTCATCCCAAGAGGCACGGAATCACCACAACCTCCACCGATTATATGCCCCTCCTTTCCTAAAATCAGCATTTCAGACTCTTCCTGGTTTCATCTATGGTAAGTTGCTGCTGACAGTCACATCAAAAAGCAAACTCAGACTGGATCATGAAAAAAGAATACCCAGAAAAATGTTGTGAAAAAATGAGGCATCAATAATAATAATGAATAGCTAAAATGACAGACTGCTATTTACTTCCAGTGGGCAAAAAATAATCCATTCCTAAGATAAGTACACTTCAAGATCCTGAACGCTGTTTAAAACAGCCATGATATCCAAAACAAAAACCAACAAAAAAAATATGCCATTCATCTAACACAGAATTTACAGGGCTTTTTTGGTCCTGTGAGCTTTTTAAACATTCCTCTAATAAAATAAAATTGTTCTTAAACTGTTCCATAACACCGCAGTGCAAAGATAATTACTAGTATTTTCTGAGGAAAACCATCTACCGATTTCATTAGTGAAGCAAAGTGTACTAAACTCAGTGTCAAAGATGTTTTCTACATGATTTTTCTGTGGGATGCGTCCACCACTCTCAAAGCATCTCTTGACTCACTGTGCCATCACTACACATTAATATATTTGCTTCTATTCTTAGAAATTTATTGTCATTTGTCAGCCACAGCAAGACAGTGTTGTTGCTTTTTAGCGTGTTTGAGTCATTTACCTGCTTAATTTTTAATTTCACTTTCAATTAAATATTAATCAATAAACAACAAATATGAAGTTTACACTTCCTTCAGTGCTTTAAAAACAAATCACTCAGAGTTTGAGCTCTTCATGATTCACCTAATGTTACGACACCAGGGAAACACCATCTCATGTTTTTGAAAGGCAGATGGTAAAAAATAGAAAGCACAAAGCATGACTAACATTATTCACCGATAATGCATCTCTCTAATCCCACGGAACAAGATATGCAGGCTTCATTCGATCCTTGAATCTCTTTTATGAAAAGTCCAGGAACCTTGCCAGGGTGCATACCAGGTTAGCATGAGTGACACACGACCATCTCACCCTTCCTAAGCAGTTAATATTCCTTTAACAAAAGCTGAGAAATAGAAAACTTGAGACTGGCACACAGCAATATTCCCCCATCAGTGGGGCTACAAGCTTTGCATCTCCAAAATAGATCAAATTACTGGAAATTTAAAGTCTGCTCTACAACAAATCCAAGTATTGCACTAGGTTTGGGTGAGGGGGAGTTGTTTCCTGTTTTTTGAGGGGGAGGATTATTTTACAAAACACACTCAAAACATTGGTATTTTCAAGATGTGGATATAGTATAGGTGAACTACCAAGGGATCCTGATTTTAAAAAAAGCAGGTGATACCTGTACATTTTCAAAATGAACGAGTGATATTATTCAGAAACAATATCACTGAAAAACCCTCATCGATCCAATTCAGATCTACCTTGATCTACCATACAGCTGTTCTTTTGCCTCACAGGAGCTGCAGATCCAGACACTCTCTGAAGAGAAACAGGCACTTCTAAACTGAGACTTCTTCTAATATGCATGTCTAAATTAGGTGAACTGAATTTCACGCTTGGGGTGCCTGCTTCCACTGGTTGTAGGGCAAGTCTGCACAACTAGTTCACAAAAGATATCCAACGATGTTTGAATCCCACTGCTATGGTCTAAGCTACCTGGGGAATAACATTTCCAGCAGTCAAAGGGAACAAGACTGAGTAAACCACAAGTTTCAGCAGTAGAAGGTGCATTGCACTGCGGGTGGGAAATAGCCAGGGAGCTCAAGGACTTCTCCCTTTCTTCTCAGAGGAGCCCTGAGTCCTCTCAGGGCCTCCAGGCCAAAATTTCTCAACCTCTTTAACCCAAGGTCTGCTCAATCTCTTTCAATGCAAAGACCATCAGCTACAGTGTGCTTCAATGGTTTTAATTTATAACCAAATGCCTCCCAGGCCACAAAGAGCCGCCATCCCCAAATCCTGAGAGCACAGCTTTTGACATCATTCTAGCACACGATCATTTCCTCCTCCATTATGCATATTGGTCTCACCATTCCCTATGACAATTTACAGGGAAACCAGTCCTCCATAGACATGTTCAACAAAAGAGAAATAAAAAACTCCACTAACTGAAAAACTAAGTTCACACACAGTGTTACATTGTTCCTCCAGACAACAGCAGTAGCTTTTAATAAAGGTTATTTCCTTTTATTTATTCTTACCAATGCTTCTGAAACGAGCTTTAGAAATAAGAAATTTGGGTAAAAAAAATTTCATAAGGAGCAGTTTGAAAACAAAACTATGTTGCGGACAAAAAGACAAAATAGCAACCCACCCAGAATCACTTCAGGTGGCAAAAGACTGCACACACTAGAAAACCTGAGTAAAATAGTATCCTTATTTTCCTCATTAAAAAGTCAGAATATAAGTCTTCATCTTGGTCTGGGATTTTGTTTGTCAAAGATGTCATGGATTTTTGTTGTACAAAAGCACTACAAACTCAAATTATTTGCCGGGTGGTTGTTTTTTTTTCCCCCCAGAGTGGCTATGTCTTGAGGAACAGGCTTCCATTCCTGTAGAGCCCAAGTCAAATATTTTTCATCTTCTAGCTGCTTAAAGGAAATGCATGCCAATTAAAACAGAAGAAATGTGGATGAGCTAACAGCAAACCTGCTGGGA